ATGTTACAAAAATCAGAGCAGCACAGGGCAACAGCATCTCCACCGATTTTTAATCCACCAAGTGAGTTTTCAAGCTCCGCTCCAGTCAATTTCTGGATTTGTGGATAACACACTGATTTATCCAGCCCAGATCGGTTCTGGAGATTGTTGAGTTGCTTCACAAATCTTCCAGACTGCAGGTGCTGGAAATTTTGAAGCAACCGCAGCAACTACTTTTCAGCATCCGTTAGCATTCCAGTCAGTTGGAAGTTTAATTCTGCGCTAAAAACCACGGTATTGAAGCGACTTTTTGAAACACCCGCATATTATTACAAAAATTAATTCCACAATCAACATTTATCATCAAAACATTGTTTACTTACTCATTCACGTCCCGCGGTACTTTATCATGTATTTATAACACTTCGACAACGACGATAATTTATGTGAATTAAGACAGCAAGGGAGGAGAGGAGAGAAGAAAGATTCAAACAAAGCATTATGAGATAATGACATGCAGAGATCCGGATCTGTGTTTTCAATTTTTTAAGTTATTCCGGGCAAAATTAATTTCCTCCAGATTCAATGAATCTGCGAACGCTTCTCGAAATATTTTTTCCCTTCATTCTGTCGTAGTGCTGTTATGACGCCAACGGTGCACATTCACAGCACCAGAAGGAAAAAACTTAAAATCGTTTTTAAAAAAGAATTTATATATAAAATTTTAGGGAAGGCACTTGTTTGCAATGAAAATACCTCGAATTATGACGGTTATCACGAATACAATACATCAAAGGTTTTATAGCAATACAAAGTTTAAATTATAGCAAAATTTTCTGATTCCACAAAACAATCCTACGGCAGTACTGGAGAGTTTCTTTGCAAACTGAAGTTTTCTTGACGCTCACGCAGAACAACGTGCGACTGCTTGAAACGGAGCTTTTCTGTATTTCCACATATTTTTCACGGCAAAGCAAAAAGAAAAAAGTTCTGAGTATACTACAACACTGAACTGTCGCACCAACACGAGAAATACTCAGTACCCGCCAGGAAAATAAGCAAAGGGATGGATGGATGGCCTCTGTGTTACTGATCAAATCAGTACGTCATAGGAACTCACTGACCCGTTTCGTGTTGATGCACCGTTTCGCTGCTTTTGGTTACAAAACATTTTCGGGCATTAAAAGCACTCAAGAAGTAATCCCGCTGGGCTTTGATTTTCGACACTGAATCACGAGTGCAGGCACTATATTTACATTTAGTTTTTTTTTTTTTTCTGCAAATTATGATTTCTGACAGATGTAACTCATTCTATAAAAACTTGAAAATGCATGAAATTATAACAGCAATAATAGTAATTGTAATAATGTTGATAATAGCAATCTAAACTGACAATATATGCTCCTACAAACACCGTGACAATGATGAACATCAGAAATTTTGTGTTACACCTCTTCTATAGACGTATTATACGATTCTGCAATCAGATCATTAATTATAGATACCGTTTTTGCTGAGGTTTTCCCTTGAACGAAACTATCGTGATCGCCTTCTACAATATATACTTGATGTTCATCGGATACCTGCAATGAGTTTGTATTCACGCAAAAAGCCAAGATGCAAAAGTGTTAAAATTTTAATTTTCGGATTGAAATGGTCGAAGGTAAAAGTACGAAAGACTGAAAAAGCAGTAATGTCTAGTAATTTTTTCTGGGCCACGCAAGTGGCAAATTTAGCACACAAAATTTCTGATGTTGACAAAGAAGTGCTGTTAACCTGCGAAATGCCGTAGTCGGAGCCAACATCTTCTTCTCTTGCCGCCCCTTGTTCTGCCCTTATCAGAGTTATCAGTCCTTTGAATTTTCGTTCAGGTTTGTATCTAAATGAAAACAGTTTTCAGGAACTATGTTATTAATTCAAATCCCACTTTGTTAATTGTCTGTCTTATTTTTCACTGAAGTTCTGATGCAGCACACTTCGTTGTCGTCTTCTGTAACTGAATTTACCTTTTGTTGCTTCTAGCTTGGTTTTGACTCGTTGTTGGCTAACAACAGTGCCATTGAAAAACGGATTATTTAAATGAACTGGGTCTGATTGGGTATATCAATACTAAACGCTTCACTTTTTTTGGGGGCTGTAAGTCCTCGAAATAGAATCTCAGCCTGTGTGGCAGCTGTTCGATTAAAAGGTAATGATTAAAATAACAGTTATAAGCCGGGGAGACGGCGAAGCTATTCGCTAATTAAACACGCAAAGGAAATGAGACTGTAAATAGCTGAATATTGAATTATATAAAGCAGTAATAAATGAGCTAAGTGTGGTCT